CCGAGGTGCAACATGCACACTCACCCTCCTGACTCCTCTTTGCAGGTGGATATGTAGGGTCATATGAATAACCCTCAGATGACCCTACACCTCTATGTGGGAATAGGAAATATGTGTGCATGTGTTTGTGTGTGCATTTGTGACCATGCATGTGTGTGCCTCCGTGAGTGTGTGTGTGTTGTGTGTGTGTGTATGTTGTGTGTGTGTGTGTGTGTATGTGTGCATCAGAGCCAGTAGAAAACTGACACAACTCAGAGCATGACTGATCAAAGTGTGCTGGAACAATGTCTACTTTCCATTTGAATAGCTTTTCCACTTATCTGTAAGGCAAAGAATTAGGGGAGTGAAGTTTCACTTGGTCTCCTGTCCGGTGTTTGCTTTACCGTCTCCTGCGAATGTCAAACACCTACGGAATTTAACATTTAGAATTCTCTCACAAACGGGATGATCTTTTCATTATCACTTTTATCCAGGCTGTCTGAAAGCATTTTTTATTTAGGCCAGTGGGGAACCGTGAGGACCATTTACGCCTTCAGAGAAAGCCTAAGGATTTTTAAATAATTGTTGTAGTTTTAAACTATAAATGTTGTTTTAATTTATATTTCATCTTTTCAATAATATTTAAATTGTATTCTAATTATGTTATTCTTTAAATTATATTCTGATTAAATCTCTTCGATTTGTGTTGGAAAGGAAACATTCATACAGTTTCTTGACTGTGTCCAGTTCGCTAATAAATCCCCGAAATGAAAGCTGGACAGTCAGGGAGGACCATTTTGACAGTGAGGAAATATTTTAAATAATCAGTGCAGCCCTCCAGACCTTGTTGAAGACCGAATGCGGCCCCGGGGGGAAATGAGTTTGACACCCCTGAGCTATATAGAAGGCATATGCCATTCAATTCTATAAGGGCAGAAACTTCTGCCTTCTCAAAGGCCAACAGGTCTTTGCGCAATAGCGAGCAGTAGTTTTCTGACGGTCTAGCTAGCCAGCTTTTGTTGTAGGCTTGTAAAAAGTGTGTAGTGGCTGCAGCAGAAGAGGATGTTGTTGCTAATTTGTTAGATTCGCCCTTTTCAAGATTCACTTTCAACAAGAAGTTACATTTCAAATGATCATCATCTGGTGAGTGGAACCGTGTTTTTTATTGCAGCTCGCTTGCTGTTGTTAGCTATCTCTTTGAAAATAGATTATGTGTGTGAAACATTGTTCCATTTAAACTTTAGATCACCGGTTAGGCTACTTTATGTAATGAATGTGAAAAAGATGTTTGCAATGGGAAGTAATAGTTCTACATTTTGATTGGGAAATGCTTACTCTAATGGTTGCTTTTCTGTATTCTCATGTGATTGGGACGTACTGGCTTATTATGTCGGAGTGAATGGGCTACTTCTCCTTTAACATCATGCTGTGTGTGACTGCTGTCTTTCTATCAGCCTATGTGTTTTACAAAAAGTGCGCTCTCCTACATGGAGTGCGCTGGTATTACAGTCGCTGTCCTTTCAGCATCACAAGCCTGCCACGCTCACATCCTTTGATGTGCCACTGTTGTCGCTTTTGGTGATAGTGTGATAGTGATGGCGTTAGGCTACCATAGGTTGTGTAAGCTGTGTGGTTGTTGTTGCTGGTAGCATTATCCGTGCGGGTGCTGTCTCTGTGTGAGTGTAAGCCCGAAGCATGGCTCATCCTCAGGCCTTTTTTATTCAGTTGGGCGCATTAAGTGATGTTATGTTCCTGTTCTTTTTCTTGATTTTTGAGTTTGGTACAATGTGTTGGAAGATATTATTTCCCCACTGAAGGCCTACACACTTAGAAAAAAGGGTCCCAAAAGGGTTCTTTGGCTGTCCGATTCCGACTTCGGAAATTACGCCTTTCTTACGCTCGCCTTTCCTACACACGCCTTTCCTACTCACAGTAGTTGGTATTCAGATTTACCTTGTAAGGGTGTGTAACGGGCTTTGAGGGTGTGGTTCCCTTGCGCACCCTGAATAAATGTAATTAAATCTCTGAAAACCCTCCCACTTGCTGGCCAACATAATTTCTCATGGCGTTTTTCATTCAAATGGGTTGTCAGTACATTTATCTTAAGCCATCCCTTTAAATATGATACACATTGCCTTGCAAAAGTATTCAACCCCCCTTGGCATTTTTCCTATTTTGTTGTATTACAACCTGTAATTTAAATGGATTTTTTATTTGGATTTCATGTAATGGACATACACAAAATAGTCCAAATTGGTGAAGTGAAATTCTAAAATTCTAAAAAATAAATAATGGAAAAGTGGTAAGTGCATGTGTATTCACCCCCTTTGCTATAAAGCCCCTAAATAAGATCTGGTGCAACCAATTACCTTCAGAAGTCAAATAATTAGTTAAATAAAGTCCACCTGTGTGCAATCTAAGTGTCACATGATCTCAGTATATATACACCTGTTCTGAAAGGCCCAAGAGTCTGCAACACCACTAAGCAAGGGGCACCACCAAGCAAGCGGCACCATGAAGACCAAAGAGCTCTCCAAACAGGTCAGAGACAAAGTTATGGAGAAGTACAGATCAGGGTTGGGTTATAAAAAAATATCTGAAACTTTGAACATCCCACGGAGAACCATTAAATCCATTATAAAAAAAATGGAAAGAATATGGCACCACAACAAACCTGCCAAGAGAGGGCCGCCCAACAAAACTCACGGACCAGGCAAGGAGAGCATTAATCAGACAGGCAACAAAGAGACCAAAGATAACCCTGAAGGAGCTGCAACACTCCACAGCGGAGATTGGAGTATCTGTCCATAGGACCACTTTAAGCCGTACACTCCACAGAGCTGGGCTTTACGGAAGAGTGGCCAGAAAAAAGCCATTGCTTAAAGAAAAAAATAAGAAAAAACGTTTGGTGTTCACCAAAAGGCACGTGGGAGACTCCCCAAACATATGGAAGAAGGTACTTTGGTCAGATTAGACTAAAATTGAGCTTTTTGGCCATCAAGGAAAACGGTATGTCTGGCGCAAACCCAACACCTCTCATCACCCCGAGAACACCATCCCCACAGTGAAGCATGGTGGTGGCAGCATCATGCTATGGGGATGTTTTTCATTGGCAGGAACTGGGAAACTAGTCAGAATTCAAGGAATGATGGATGGCGCTAAATACAGGGACATTCTTGAGGGAAACCTGTTTCAGTCTTCCAGAGATTTGAGACTGGGACGGAGGTTCACCTTCCAGCAGGACAATGACCCTAAGCATACTGCTAAAGCAACACTCGAGTGGTTTAAGGGGAAACATTTAAATGTCTTGGAATGGCCTAGTCAAAGCCCAGACCTCAATCCAATTGAGAATCTGTGGTATGACTTAAAGATTGCTGTACACCAGCGGAACCCATCCAACTTGAAGGAGCTGGAGCAGTTTAGCCTTGAAGAATGGGCAAAAATCCCAGTGGCTAGATGTGCCAAGCTTATAGAGACATACCCCAAGAGACTTGCAGCTGTAATTGCTGCAAAAGGTGGCTCTACAAAATATTGACTTTGGGGGGGTGAATAGTTATGCACGCTCAAGTTTTCTGTTTTTTTGTCTTATTTCTTGTTTGTTTCACCCCCAAAAATATTTTGCATCTTCAAAGTGGTAGGCATGTTGTGTAAATCAAATGATACAAACCACCAAAAAATCAATTTTACATCCAGTTAGTAAGGCAACAAAATAGGAAAAATGCCAAGGGGGGTGAATAGTTTCACAAGCCAATGTAAATGCATATTCATCTCTGTTTCAGCACCAACTGGTAGATGTAAAAATACTCTGATCTTGTAGATTATTTAGGCACATTTTAGGGTTAGGAAAGTACTGTATGTATGAATCATTAAAAAATAGATGTTTGGAGTGCCTTTACGCACAAAATATATTGATTAATTAAAAATACAGTGGTTTGATTCATTCTGAAAGTTGTCATATTCAAGTTCAATCCATGAAATATTGGAAGGTGGAAAAAAGTGTACAATAGGGGTTGAACAATAGTCCTGTAAATCTACAGTAATTCTCACTAATCATGGAACTGTATGACAATGGTCCATTCGTCGTGAACCGATTTTCAGTTTGCTTCCATATGGCTGGTTTCGCATTCATCTCCAGGGATCATAAGGAATAATAATCTAAAACAATTGCTATGTGTATTTACAATCCCCTTCTCCAAACGGATTACTCATTTACCTAGATCTTATCAATGTATAAATTACATTCACATTTTAGTAGAAGCTCTTATCCAGAGCGATTTACAGGAGCAATTAGGGTTAAGTGCCTTGCTCAAGGGCACATCGATAGATTTTTCACCTAGTCGGCTCGGGGATTAGAACCAGCAACCTTTCAGGTACTGGCACAACGCTCTTAACCACTAAGCTACCTGCCGCCCCATATTACAGTGTATGGAGAATGCTGTTATTTCTATCGTAAAAAATAAAGTAGATGCTTTTTCCACTTGGAACCGGCAGGTTCGCTCAAACTTATTCATGGTTTCCTCACGCGTAAAGGTGGTGGAATTATGAGGGAATGAAGTCAAGGTCAGAATATGGTGTATCTGTAGACACACCTCCACCACACCTTCATTTATTCCATCTTTACCCGAACGAATAGCGGGTGAATAGCATGCTCTTCTCATGCTTAAGTTCAAGGTCAGAATACACATAGAGAAAAAAGTGCATAAAAAGGGAATTACGTTCCATTTACGCTCGCTTAAGTCAGGTCGGAATCAGTGCCTAGATGAATTGAGGATGAAGACACTGTTCTTATTCGGTTCAACATTGCAGTCAATGCCCAGAATGGATTCTTAAAGGTTAGGCGTGGATGAATCCAGGGGTAAACAGATAGAGCTGTGTGGGGATATTGTGGTGTCTCTCATTCTAGATAAATGTGCAATGTATATATTTTAGACTGATGTATGCCCATGTAAACCTGTGTGATACTTCGAGAGGACAGAAGGCATGTGCAGAAACAAGACAGAGATAACACAACAAGGACAGTATGTCAGTGGCCACCAACCATAGACCTGGATGATCTACACATGGTGTGCAGGCATTTTTTTAAACACTAAAACATGCGATTCGACTAACAATTAAGACATGGTTGGTTCTAGGTCGAGAACAAGCCTGAGTACCTTGTAGCTCTCCAGGACCAGGGTTATTTTTTTATTATTTGGTTATCACGGTTGTTACTGTATAAGCTTATATAAAAGGGAAGCTATATTTATTCAAAGCCAAGCTTACAGATTGAGTCAGAGAAAGAGAAGGAAAAATAGTGAATGACAAACAACGAATGACAGGCATAGACGTGCAACATCACTGACAAAAGATTCAACTCTATTTTTTCATCATCCACAGTTGGCTACCAGATACTGAACTTGCAGTGTCCAACGTACAATCAATGTGTGATTGACAAGGATGAGTATATCAACAAAGAGCAGATCAGGTAATAGCCCATTTCAAGTACTTAACACCTACAATTGTAACTCTTCAGCAGGCAACATTCTCAACAATGTCCAAGTCATTCTTTCTGGGAAGTAACGATGAACGCTGAGCTATTCAATGAACTATTCTATTAAGCTATTCAAACCTTTTTTGTGAATTACTGAATGCTGAGCTGCATGCTCCAATATTCCCTCTAGTGGATTGCCCACTTTGTCAGAAGATAAATAGGAATGGGGAGAGAGGGAAGGTGAGAAGAGATAAGAAGAAAGAGGAAACGGAGGGATGGACGTAATCCAGTCTCAGGCTGAGTGAGGGGGGCCGGGAGGAGGAGAAGGAGGGAGGAAAGTCATCCCGTCTCAGGTTGAGTAAAGGGGTCAGTGAGCTCCTCCTCCTCTCTCACCACTGGGAGCTGGCTGCTGCTGGCGCTGCGAGCCTGGACCTGCTCAGAGACTGTCGGGAGGGATGCAGTGTCCGGGAGGGCTGAAGGGACAGGATGAAGAGGAAGAGAAGGAGAAGGATGTGGGGGAGGAAGAGAGGGAGGATAGAGTGGAGGACGAGTGTGAGGATAGAGAGTAGGATGAGAAGGAGGACAGGGAGGACGAGGAGGAAAAGAGGAAGGATGAAGAGAGAGAGAGGATAGTGAAGAGGAAGAGAGAGAGGAACACAAGGAAGAGAGGAGGAAAGACAGGGTTTGGAGAGGAAGGGTACAGGTCAAATGGAAGGGATAGGGTTGGAAGATGGAGGATTGAGGGAGGAAGAAGCCAAAAGGAAGGCATGAAAGATAGAACAGTTGCAAAGGAGGAGACAGACACTGACATAGAAGAGGAAAAAGCTTTAATGTAAAGTCAATGACCCTTTGGATATCCTGTATTCATTAATCCAGAGTGTGTTTGTATCTTCCTGCAAGGCCAAGACTATGTGTCTGAGTATGTTGACTCTATCTACATCTTCAGTCAGATAGGACTGGGAAAATATGAACTAATTCAAAAGAACATTTGCATCCAGAGAGAGTCAGACATAGGTCTGTGATTTCGCTGTTTGTTATTCATCGGAAATGAGAGAAAACATATCTTAGCTTCGTATGATTCGAAGTAATGACCATTAGCATAATATGATGAAATCTGAGAAAAACATCAAATTAATTAATACAAAAGCTGTCAGGGGCCGTCACGTTAGGTGATCCAAGTCAAACAGCTATGATTCTCCTACTGTATAAACAGGCCTAGCAGGTGGCATTTCATCAATAGCATCCAAAACTCGCCCAGCAGTTGCCTGTCAGAGTAGTTCTTAGAGTAGAGTAGGTAAATAAAGGATGCACACCTCACACTTCATTTTTTCTCCTTGCTGTGGATTTATTTCACCAAGGAGAGATGAGTGTGTGACTTTTTTCCATTCATAAAGTTATAATGTAGTTCATAGGGAGTAGGGACATTTGTCACAGGGAGAAGGGACGTCCTAAAATGTACACCGCACCTGCCTCCCAGGGACTTTGTCATAGGGAGTAGTAGGGATGTCCTAAAATGTACAACACAACTACCTCCTAGGGACTTTTGTCATAGGCAGAAGGGATTTCCTAAAATGTGCACCGTAGTGTTATTGAGGAGGGTCTAAGAGGAGCTTTAGCCTACTTACCTCCTGGGATCTCTGTGAGCTCGTTGAGAGGAGGCACTGTCTCCAGTGTGTTGGCGTAGTCCTTAGCTGCTACTCTCTGAGCGTGTCGCGCCTCAATCTCCTTCTTTGTCCTGGGGATACGGCATTTGAAGATGCAGCATAGGGTAATGACTTACAAATGGAGAAAGAGGGAGAGAAAGAGAGAGATGAAATATAATAGTATTTCCCATGTGGAATGTTATACGTGTTTCTGAAGTACATCTGAAGACCTATTGAACTAGACACTACTCAACGGTGTCACATTACAGCTATTATATAACTGTAATAGTGACACTATTCAGTATCCGCTGTTATCAGACTATTTTCCTTTTTGTTGATTCGGTCTATGTTGTGACATGGTAAATTATTACTGTATAGATGTCTGATGGATTATCACTAAAATAGAATGCCATCTTTGTCTTGTGAAGTGTAATTGCTGTCCTCCACCCCTTATTGAACCATGCATCATGTGGTCGATAAAGCAATCCCAAATAGACGATGCCATGACCATTTGGAACCCTCCCTCACAATAACCATCATGACAATTCAGTGCATATAATATTACAGGACCATGATATTTATTTGACCTTTATTTTAGCAGAGTCCCATTGAGACCAACGTCTCTTTAGCCAAGTAAAACTAAACTCCACAGATTGTCCCGTGTAATTGAGTGCTGTTTCTACAATGTACAAAATTAAGAAAAACCCTTGAATGAGTAGGTGTGTCCAAACTTTTGACTGGTACATTATATAGAAATAGTGACACGATAAATAAATAGACTGTATAACAATAACGAGTAAAAATAACATGGTTATATACAGGGAGTACCAGTACCGGGTCGATGTGCAGGGGTACGAGGTAACTGAGGTAGCTATGTAGATATAGGTAGGGGTAAAGTGACTAGGCAACAGGATAGACAATAGACAGTAGCAGCAGCGTATGTGGTGAGTGTGAAAGTATGTCTGTGTGTGTGTGTGTGTGTGTGTGTTGCGTCAGTATGCATGTGTGCGTGTGTTATGTGTGTGGGCGTATGTGTTATGTGTGTGGGCGTGTTGGGGTGTCAATTTACATATGTGTGAGTGTGTGGGTAGAGTCCAGTGTGTGCATAGAGTCAGTGCAGGAGAGTTAGTGCAAAAAAGTGTGTGTGTGTTGGGGTGTGTATGTGTGTGTTGGGGTGTCCGTGTAAGTATGTGTGAGTGTGTGGGTAGAGTCCAGTGTGTGTGCTGAGTCAGTGCAAGAGAGTTAGTGCAAAAAAGGGTCCATGCAGGTAATCCGGCTAGCCATTTGATTAGCTATTTAGCAGTCTTGTTTAGCAGTGTTATGGCTTGAGGGTAGAAGCTGTTCAGGGTCCTGTTGGTTCCAGACTTGGTACACTGGTACCGCTTGCAGTGCGATAGCAGAGATAAAAGTCAATGGCTTGGGTGGCTGGAGTCTTTGAACAATTTTTGGGCCTTCCTCTGACACCGCCTGGTATAGAGGTCCTGGATAGCAGGGAGCTCGGCCGTACTCACCACCTTCTGTAGCACCTTGCGGTCGGGTGCCTTGCAGTTGCCTTACCAATCGGTGATGCAGCCAGTCAAGATGCTCTCAATGGTGCAGCTGTAGATCTTTTTGAGGTTCTGTGGGCCCATGCCAAACCTTTTCAGCCTCTTGAGGGGGAGGAGGCGCTGTTGTGCCCTCTTCAAAGCTGTGTGGGTGTCTGTGGACCATGTTAATTCCTTAGTGATGTGGACAACGAGGAATTTGAAGCTTTCGACTCGCTCCACTATAGCCCCATCGATGTGGATGGGGGCGTGCTCGCCCCTCCGTTTCCTGTAGTCCACGATCAGCTCCTTTGTCTTGCTGACTTGGCCACTCAGGAACATTAATTATTGGTAAGCAACTCCAGTGTAGATGTGGCCTTGTGTTGTACAGTAGGTTATTGTCCTGTTGAAAGGTGAAATTCCTCTCCCAGTGTCTGGTGTAAAGCAGCCTGAAGCAGATTTTGCTCTAGGATTTGCCCCAAACATAAGGCTTTGCATTTAGGCCAAAAAGTGCATTCCTTTGCCATGTTTTTTTTTGCATTATTTCTTTAGTGCCTTGTTGCATACAGGATGCATGTTTTGGAATATATTCTGTATATATATATTTTTTTATCCATCCTCAGTTTTCTCCCATCACAGCCATTGAACACTGTATCTGTTTTAAAATCCCCAATGGCCTCATGGTGACATCCCTGAGCAGTTTCCTTCCTGTCCTGCACCTCAGTTCAGGACAACTGTATCTTTGATGTGTCTGGGTGGTGTAATACATCATCTACAGCATAATTATTAACTAGACCATGCTTAAAGAGATATTCAAGTTTCAAAGTTTCAAGTTCAAAGTTTATTCGCCATATGCACAGGATACAACAGCTGTAAAACAGTACAGTGAAATTCTCACCTTAAGAGCTCTTTCCGAACAATGTATTGATAATAATAATAATATATACTGAGTGGACAAAACATTAAGAACACCTTCCTAATATTGAGTTGCACCCCCCCTTTTGCCCTCAGAACAGCCTCAATTCGTTGGGGCATGGACTCTACAAGGTGTTGAAAGCGATCCATAGGGATGCTGACCCATGTTGACTTCAATGCTTCCCACAGTTGTGTCAAGTTGGCTGGATGTCCTTTGGGTGGTGGACCATCCTTGATATACACGGAAAACTGTTGAGCGTGAAAAACCCAGCAACGTTGCAATTCTTGACACAAACTGGTGCGCCTGGCACCTACTACCATACTTCGTTCAAAGGCACTTCAATCTTTTGACTTGACCATTCAACCTCTGAATGGTACACATGCACAATCCATGTCTCAATTGTCTCAAGGCTTAAAAATCCTTCTTTAACCTGTCTCCTCCCCTTCATCGACACTGATTGAAGTGGATTAAACTAGTGACATCAATAAGGGATCATAGCTTTCACCTGGATTCACCTGGTCAGTGAAGAGCAGGTATTCATAATGTTTTGTACACTCAGTGTAGATAATAAATATATATAAAAATGTAACACACAAGAGTGGGGCCTCCCGAGTGTCGCTCTAAGGCACTGCATTGCAGTGCTTGAGGCGTCACTACAGATCCGGGTTCGATCCCAGGCTGTGTCACAACCTGACATGACTGGGAGTCCCATTGGGCGGCGCACAATTGGCCCAGAGTCATGAGGGCTTTACTTGGCTCATTGCACTCTAGCGACTCCTTGTGGCGGGCTGGGCGCCTGCAGGCTGACTTCGTCGTCAGTTGAGCGGTGTTTCCTCCGACACATTGGTGCAGCTGGCTTCTGGGTTAAGCAGGCGGGTGTTAAGAAACGTGATTTGGTGGGTCATGTTTCGGGAGTACGCATAACTCAACCTTCGCCTCTCACAAGCCCTTTGGGGAGTTGCAGCGATGAGACAAGATTGTAATTGGATATCATGAAATTGGGGAGAAAAAGGGGGTAAATTTTTTTTATAAAATAAAGAGTGACAGTGAAGGTGTTTGTGTCAGAGTGGGTAGAGACCTGTTGGATGGGCATAGAGCCGGTGTGGATAGTCTGTGGGAGAGGGAGAGCAGTAGCTGTTAGCCATTTAACAGTCTTATGGCCAGGGGATAGAAGCTGTTTAGGAGTCTGTTGCTCTGAGCCTTGATGCACCGGTGCCGCTTGCCGGACAGGACTATGGAGAGCAGTCAATGTTTGGGTGGCTGGAGTCTTTGCCAATTTTTCGGGCCATTCTCAGACACTGTCTGGCATGTACGTCCTGGATGGCTCCAAGTGATGCGCTGGGCCATCCGCACCACCCGGTTGAGGGCGGTGCAGTTGCCATACCAGACGGTGATACAACCAGTCAGGATGCTCTTGATCGTGCATCTGTAAAAGTTCCTGGGGATCTGAGGGGCCATACCAAATATTTGCAGCCCCCTTAGGGAGAAGAGGCGCTGCCGTGCCTTCTTCACGACTGGGCTGGTGTGAGAGGACCTCAGTGATGTGGACACTGAGAAACTTGAAGCTCTTGACCCTCTACACTGCAGCCCGTCGCCCCCCGTTTGTACACAGCAGCCCGTCGCCCCCCCGTTTCCTGCAGTCCACAAAGTCGTGGGTAAACAGGGAGGACAGGAGGGGGCTAAGCACACACCCCTGGGGGGGGGGGGGGGTCAGCATGGTGGATGTGTTGTTACCTACTCTCACCACCTGGGGTCGGCCGGTCAGGAAGTCCAGGATCCAGTTGCAGAGGGAAGTGTTCAGTCCCAGGGTTCCAAGCTTGGTGACGAGCTTGGAGGGCACTATGGTGTTAAACACTGAGCTGTAGTCGATGAACAGCATTCTCACATAGGTATTCCTCCTGTCCAGGTGGGAGAGGTCAGTGTGGAATGCAATTGAGATTGCATCATCTGGAGATCTGTTGGGTCAGTATGCAAATTGGAGTGGGTCTAGGGTGTCTGGGATGATGGAGTTGATGTGTGCCATGATCAGCCTTTCAAAGCACTTCATTATTACAAATGTGAATGCTACAGGGTGGTAGTCATTATGGCAGGTAGCCATAGAGTTCTTGGGAAAATGAATGATGGTGGTCCGAGACATGTGAGGATTACAGACAGGTTGATAATGACTGTGAAGATGCCTGCCAGCTGGTCTGCGCAAATTCTGAGATCACTCCCTGGAATACCATCCATCCCCGCGGCCTTGCAAGTGTTGAGCAGATGAAAAGCCTTACGATTTCCTCGGAGAGCGAGATCACCCAGTCCTCTGGGACGGCGATGGCCCTCATACATGGCTCGGTGTTGTTTTTGTTGAAGCGTGCATAAAATGCATTGAGTTCGTCTGGTAGAGAGGCATTGTTGGGCAGATCACGGCTAGGTCTTCTTTTGTAATCTGTAATGGACTGTAGCCCTTGCCACATGCGTCGAGTGTCGGAGCCGGTAAAATCAGATTCCACCTTGTTCCTATATTGTCCTTTTACCTGTTTGATGGCTCTGCGGAGGTAACTTCTTGTACGCGTTCGTGTCCTCAGCCATAGCATCTGGGTTGGCTGCGATAGCTCTGTGTGCAGTAGTTCTGTCCTTAAGCTTAACGCATACCTCTGTGTTAATCCAGGGCTTTTGATTGGGGAAGCAGCGAACCTTTACTGTGGGGACAACATCAGCGATGCATTTCCTGTTGAAGCTGGAGGTGGTTAGCTCATCGATACTATGACTGACTGACTGACTGACTAACTGACTAACTGACTGACTGACTAACTGACTAACTGACTAACTGACTGACTGACTGACTGACTAACTGACAGACTAACTGACTGACTAACTGACTTTCTAACTGAATAACTGACTGACTGACTGACTAACTGACTTTCTAACTGACTGACTAACTGACTGACTGACTGACTAACTGACTGACTAACTAACTGACTTTCTAACTGAATAACTGACTGACTGACTAACTGACTGACTAACTGACTGACTGACTGATTAACTAACTGACTGACTGACTAACTAACTAACTAACTAACTAACTAACTAACTAACTAACTAACTAACTAACTAACTAACTGACTGAATAACTGACTGACTGACTAACTGACTTTCTAACTGACAGACTGACTAACTGACTGACTGACTGACTGACTGACTAACTAACTGACTGACTGACTGACTAACTAACTAACTAACTAACTGACCAACTGACCAACTGACCAACTGACTAACTGATTAACTGACTGACTGACTAACTGACTGACTGACTGACTAACTAACTAACTAACTAACTAACTGACTGACTGAATAACTGACACTAACTGACTGACTGACTAACTGACCAACTGACCAACTGACTAACTGACTAACTGACTAACTGACTAACTGACTAACTGACTGACTAACTAACTAACTAACTAACTGACTGACTGACTGACTGACTAACTGACTGACTGACTAACTGACACTAACTGACTGACTGACTGACTGACTGACTGACTGACTAACTGACTGGCTGACTAACTGACTGACTAACTGACTGACTGACTGACTGACTGAACTAACTAACTAACTAACTAACTAACTAACTGACTAATTGACTGACTGACTGATTGACTAACTGACTGACTGACTGACTGACTGACTAACTGACTTTCTAACTGACTGACTGACTGACTGACTGACTGACTGACTAACTGACTGACTAACTAACTAACTAACTAATTTTCTAACTGAATAACTGACTGACTGACTAACTGACTTTCTAACTGACCAACTGACCAACTGACCAACTGATTAACTGACTGACTAACTAACTAACTAACTGACTGACTGATTAACTGACACTAACTGACTGACTAACTGACTGACTGACTGACTGACTGACTAACTGACTGGCTGACTAACTGACTGACTTACTGACTAACTGACTGACTGACTAACTAACTAACTAACTAACTAACTAACTAACTAACTAACTAACTAACTAACTAACTAACTGACTAATTGACTGACTGACTGATTGACTAACTGACTGATGACTGACTGACTGACTGACTGACTAACTGACTAACTGACTAACCGACTAACTGACTGACTAACTGACTGACTAACTGAATGACTAACTAACTGACTAATTGACTGACTGACTGACTGACTGACTGATTGACTAACTGACTGATGACTGACTGACTGACTGACTGACTAACTGACTAACTGACTGACTAACTGACTGACTAACCGAATGACTAACTAACTGACTAATTGACTGACTGACTGACTGATTGACTAACTGACTGATGACTGACTGACTGACTGACTAACTGAATGACTAATTGACTGACTAACTGACTGACTAACTGACTGACTGACTAACTGACAGACTAACTGATTGATAAATTGACTTTCTATCTGACTGACTGACTGACTGACTGACTGACTGACTGACTGACTAACTAACTAACTAACTAACTAACTGACTGACTAACTAACTAGTTAGTTAGTTAGTTAGTTAGTTAGTTAGTTAGTCAGTCAGTCAGTCAGTCAGTCAGTCAGTTAGTTAGTTAGTCAGTCAGTCAGTCAGCCAGTCAGTTAGTTAGTTAGTTAGTAAATTAATTAATTAGTCAGTCAGTCAGTCAGTCAGTCAGTCAGTCAGTCAGTTATGACTGACTGACTAACTAACTAACTGACTGACTGACTGACTGACTGACTAACTAACTAACTAACTAACTAACTAACTGACTGACTGACTGACTGACTGACTGACTAACTAACTGACTGGCTGACTGACTAACTAACTAACTAACTAACTAACTAACTAACTAACTGACTAACTAACTAACTAACTAACTGACTAACTAACTAACTAACTAACTGACTGACTAACTGAGTAACTGAGTAACTGAGTAACTGACTGACTAACTGACAGACTAACTGACAGACTGACTGACTGATTTATACATGCATTTTATTAATGTGATTTATGTAAATATAATTACAAGGGAGGATTGATGTGAGATTGATAGGTACTTAAGTGAATGTGTGTGAATATTCTCATCTCATAAATAGTCTTGAATGAGTCTGGCACACTATTATGACAGGTTTGGAGAAATACTTACTGACTGCTAGAATAAACATAGAGAAGATGCCAATGACCTGCCATAACCGCAGTCCCCAGAACACAACTGTTTCTGAAGTGACTGGGTCTGGCTTCTTTGGGGGATCTGTCGGTAAAAGCTGTTGGAGGAAAAAGAGACAATATTTGCATTAGTTACTTATTGTGTAATCTAGACAGATACTCTTCAAATCACTATGCAGTTTGAGAATCTTCATATAAATTAGCCGAATGCAATTTGGACAAATACCGCAATTGAAGCAAATATCAATCTGATTGAGAGAATAATTGTTTTCGCTTCCTTTCAGTTTCTGAAGAGACACAACTGGAGGAAATACAGATTTGGAAAAGACAACCCACTGGACACACACCGGTTGAATTTTCAATGAAATGACTTGAAGCAACGTGGAATTGACGTCTGTGGCCAGTGGGAAGTTTATGTCACTGTGTGTTTAGGGAGAAAAGGCTTGACTTGGAATAAAACCCTCAAAAATAGGATTTTGTAGATCATGCAGAATCTGGAACATGCCAGTCTGATGTGACCCCTCATGACCCCTTCATATTCTGAATATCTCAGTCAACCTTAGGCCACTTGTGAATGAGTGCTACCAGCACACGCCTAAAATCTGCCTCACAAATTGCCTCAACAATAGAGAACAATGGGTTGAATCCCAACCATCTTTCACAGATATAGAAAGATGACTATTTGAATAAGAAAAAAACAGAAAAAAAAACAAGAGCATTGAACAACAAGCAACAAAACAGACAAAGAGCAACATTATGTTTGTCATGTCATGCCCAATCACTTTGAACACTAGAATCTGTCTCCTGTAGCTCACTTGGTAGAGCATGGTGCTTGCAACGCCAGGGTTGTGGGTTTGTTTCCCACGGGGGGCCAGTATGAAAAATGTATGCACTCACTAACTGTAAGTCGCTCTGGATAAGAGCGTCTGCTAAATGACTAAAACATGTTTTTAAATGTATTAAGTCATTTTGTCCCACCAATTTGTTATATTATGTTGACTTTCCCAACTTTTGCTGAAAACTCAAGCTGGAAATAAGGCGCTGGAAAGCTACAGAATGCTGAGAAATACTGTAAGAACACAATGAAAACTAAATAATTGCCTCACTGAGTGAATGGCACTGATGGAGGAGAATGAATCACACATCTTGGCACAAAGAGTGAATGGAAAAAAACATGAAGCACTCTCCCCCTAATTAGAGGGATCCAAACACTTTTCGTTTGGTGGGGAGGAAAAGGACACTTTTAAACTGAACATGCTCCTTCTTTAGTGTGACAACGATCCTAAGATATTGTTTTTGAGATATTGATCCGATATGATTGGAAGCATGTTTTTTGCTGACTTCATACAACATCATAAACAAACTAAAAATAGTCTCTAAAGTGTTGAAGGTTATAGTGTTAGTCTGAGGATTCACATTTCAACACTTTTTTTTATTTCAGATAAGTCTTGAGAAAATGGGTGAAATGCAGCACTAGCAGACAGACATGAATCAAGAAAGATAAGCCAACCCCTCTTAGATCTGACTCAAAGTTACTAGTCCATATCCTTGACATCACAATAAGGCTACAATCAGAGGTTAGGCTGTTTTATTAATACAGTCATCATTATGATTAATTCAAACGCCTGGTGATGAGCCTTACATTATCTATCATGTGTGAGATGTTTGTTAAAAGTATAGTTCACCCAAATTACAAAATTACATATTGGTTTAGTTTATACCCTGTAGCCAGTCTAACAAACAAACAGTGCCAGGGAAATAAAACCAACGCGTTGATTGCTGTCATACCATGTCCATAGACTGCTTACACATTTGTGTGAACTATCCCTTTATGTGAATAGAGGCTATGAAAAGAAAAGTGTGCTGTGATTGCAGTTTGTTCAGGAAGGTGTTGGAAAATCTATACCGTGCTGCATGGTGTACTGCAGGCAATGCGAGCCATCACACTTACCCTACAACACACACGCACGCATGCACACACGCACACACGCACACACACACACTGTGGGTCTCATTCCTCTATCACACCACAGTCAGTGAGGTATTCTTCCTGGTGCTCTAGTATTGACATGCTTGTTTAATGGAACAACAAGCGATGGGTCCCATCCAATTATGTACAGTGCATTCGGAAGGTATTCAGACCCTTTGACTTTTTCAACATTTTGTTACGTTACAGCCTTGTTATGTTACAATACCCCATAATGACAAAGCAAAAACAGATTTTTATACATTTTTGCAAAAAATAAATAAATAAATAAACCATACATTTACATAAATATTCAGACTGTTTACTCAGTACTTTGTTGAAGCACCTTTGGCAGCGATTACAGCTTCGCGTCTTCTTGGGTATGATGCTACAAGCTTGGGACACCTGTATTTGTGGAGTTTCTCCCATTCTTCTCTGCAGATCCTCTCAAGCTCTGTCAGGTTGGATGGGGAGCGTTGCTGCACAGCTATTTTCAGGTCTCTCCAGAGATGTTCGATCGGGTTCAAGTCCGGGCTCTGGCTGGGCCACTCAAGGACATTCAGAGACTTGTCCCGAAGCCACTCCTGCGTTGTCTTGGCTGTATGCTTAGGGTCATTGTCCTGTTGGAAGGTGAACTTTCGCCCCAGTTTGAGGTCCTGACAGCTCTGGAGCAGGTTTTCATCAAGGATCTCTCTGTACTTTGCTCCGTTCATCCTTCCCTCGATCCTGACTAGTCTCCCAGTCCCTTCTGCTGAAAAACATCCCAGGTTTTGTGACGCTTGGCATTCAGGCCAAACAGTTGAATCTTGGTTTCATCAGACCAGAGAATCTTGTTTCTCATGGTCTGAGAGTCCTTTAGGTGACTTTTGGCAAACTCCAAGCAGGCTGGCATGTGCCTTTTACTGAGGAGTGGCTTCCGTCTGGCCATTCTACCATTAAGGCCTGATTAGTGGAGTGCTGCAGAGATGGTTGTCCTTCTGGAAGGTTCTCCCATCTCCACAGAGGGACTCTGGAGCTCTGTCAGAGTGCCCATCGGGTTCTTGGTCACCTTGCTGACCAAGGCCCTTCTCCCCTGATTGCTCAGTTTTTGCCGGGCGGCTAGCTCTTGGAAGAGTCTTGGTGGTTCCAAACTTCTTCCATTTAAGAATGATGGCGGCCACTGTGTTCTTGGGGACCTTCAATGCTGCAGAATTTGTTTGGTACCCTTCCCCAGATCTGTGCCTCGACACAATCCTGTCTCGGAGCTCTACGGACAATTCCTTCGACCTAATGGCTTGGTTTTTGCTCTGATATGCACTGTCAACTGTGGGACCATATATAGACAGGTGTGTGCCTTTCCAAATCATGTCCAATCAATTGAATTTACCACAGGTGGACAATCAAGTTGTAGAAACATCTCAAGGATGATCAATTGAAACAGGATGCACCTGAGCTCAATTTCGAGTCTCATAGCAAAGGGTCTGTATACTTATGTAAATAAGGTATTTCTGTTTTTCATTTGTAATAATTTTGCAAAAATGTCTAAAAATCTGTTTTTGCTTTGTCATTATGGGGTATTGTGTGTAGATTGATGAGGAAAATGTTTAATTTAATCCATGTTAAAATAAGGCTGTAACGTAACGAAAAGGGAAGGGGTCTGAATACTTTCCGAATGCACTATATATTAACACTGGATTGCTGATGCTATGTATTGGCTATTGAGAGACTTTGAAGCCATATTGGCACTCCCAAGTAGGAGCAGTCTTCAATAGCAATAAATTGAATTCTACAGTATTTCAATTAAATGTTTCAAGGACAAAATTACATGTATTTAAATAATTTTTGTTGTAGTGGGGACATCACTATTAGTAATAAAAAACTTTAAGAAATTACTTTTTTCTTTTTCTTTTTGTCTTTTTGTATGTTTATCTCACATAATATAATTTACAAGTATGCATTAAGGTGTCTGTAATGGAATAAATGTGGCAAAAACGAATGCAGACATTAATAAACGCATTTCTATAGCTTCCAAAATATTTTTTTACAACGGTGGGGGAGTGCCAAGATGAGGCACTGTGGCTTCAACACAGCGCACCCTATTAGTTATCTAGTGTTTATACAAATCATTGGTTTCATCTAGCAGCCCAGCCCCATAGTTCATGTCTACAGATCAATATATGATGGGTCAGGACACGGACACTTATTACATTTTCTGACGTTGTAAATAATCTCATCTCACACTGAAATGGTCAGACGGTTTATAGAATAATACATCTGGGAAGAAGCCAAAACACTTGTGCATTAGTTCAGATGACTTTCAAGCAAATGGGACTTTCATGTGAAAAAGTACATTATGTTTTTTAATTCAGAGTGCAATATTAGAAACATTCATGGACGGATAATATCCTTCAGCAAAAACATTTCTATTGATTTTTTCAGTACAATTTGATTAAACTTGACAGGGAGGAGTCAAGCATCTGTGCTTTTCCAATAATGACCAGGATGGATATATTACAGTCGTGCATTTGACCAACGGTGCACATTTCAGTGGTGGCTGGTGGCACTTTAAATGGGGAGGACAGGCTCATATTAATGGCTGGAACAGAATTAATGGAATGGTCTCAAACACATCAAACAACTGGTTTCCATGGGCGTGATACCATTCCATTCATTCACTCCATTTATTATGAGTCCTTCTCCCCTCACCAGCCTCATTTGGGTGCAATGTAATCTAACAGTCAATAAACCGGATGAGAACAATGTACAACTATAACATTTTCAAAACATAGATTACTGTACATCTTGAAGCCATTGTTATTTAGGTAGATGTGTTGTTTAGTCATTGGTGGATTGACCAACAAATAAAATCATATGTAGGAAATGACTCTGGGCAAAACTCTTCTAGACAACATACATGTATCTTTTATTTTTTTAAATGTAGATTTGTAGGCCAACTACTGAAAGACCATTGCCTTGAGGTACTGTATATTTTGTAAGAGAATTGTAATTCTTGGAATTGTAATGTTGTAATTTTTCTCAGTATTATTGACATGTTGTCTCTCATCTGCAGTGTGACAGACAGGGGTGCGTCCGAAATGGCACCCAATTCCCTATAATACAGTGCACTACCTTTGACCAAAGCCCATCTATTACCTACGTAGTGTACTACTTTCGATCAGGGCCCTAGGGCTCTGCACAGGGAATAGGGTTCCATTTCAGACTCAGCCAGGATCTTACAGGGCTGAGTGTTTGAGCTCAGTTGGGAGCTGCGTGTTAGAGCTGATTGGCTTTGGAGAGTCAGCATGTTAACAAGATGTCATGGGCCTAACATTGTCTGACTTCTCAGCAAATCTCCAAATGTCAGCAGTGTACTGTATGAGAATGTGTTCTATCTGCCAAGGCCATCAGGGGGAGAGCCTGTTGCCAAAACAAAAACTAATAATGGAGTTTTGATGAAAATGGTTTGTAGCCTGACATGACTTTACTCCCAAGTGTAATGCCACTTTAGGGGGGAAACAGATTTTAACTCTGCTGCCCTTAATTCAAAGTAGTGAATTCATAGTATTTCAACATGCTTATGTAATGCTAAAATGTCCTTTCTCGCTCTCCTATTTGATGTGGTGGGATTAGTGGATGAGCCAGATAGCTTTGGTAAACATATTGAGACAACTCAGATCCAGTGGGAGAGTTGACTCTGGCTGCAGCTTGCAGTTGCTATGGTTGTTGAATTTTCAATGTCAAACCTGATTCAGGAAAGGCTTAGTTGAGATCATTTTGACTTTATGCCATAATACGAACACACTCTTAGAAAAAAAGATGCTAAGTAGAACTATACAGGGTTCTTCGGTTTGTCCCCATTGGGGAACCCTTTTTGGTGCTGGGTAGAACCCTTTGCAGAGTTTTCTATCTAGAACCCTCTATGTAGGGTTCTTAAAAGAACCGCCTGTATATGGTTCTACCTAGAACCCTCTATGAAGGGTTCTGCCTAGAACACTCTACCGAGAACCCTTTTATCTTAGGAGGGTTCTTCCTAGAATCCTCTATGAACGGTTCCACCTGCCTTATTGGCCTTAAATATTTAATTAGTTATGACAATACATTACAAACTGTATATCATAAGGCCTTTCTTTGAGGGCCTAGTTATACCCTAACACAGTGGTGTTAGGAATCTCCTGGTTTACAGGCCACATCAGGCCTGCAAGTCACATTATGCTGGTTTATAAAGTGATGTGTAATTCCTATTGGAATCCAGCCAGAGTTAGGATATCCAACAAGTGGAAATGTTACTCACCCGCAACCCGCATTCAGAATGACTGCCAGGGTAGGGAAGATTAAATACTGAGACTACCTCAATCATCTAAACTGGAACAACCATCTCAGTAGCTGGTGCAATAAATCCAATTACTAACAGATTCAATTATACAATTAATCAATCAATGTACATGCAAAAACACAGATATTACAGTAAAACAAACAATTCTGAAAATTTCCCTGCAATAGAGCATGCTGGGAAATATTATGTATGGTTCTATGTGGCGGCAGGTAGCTTAGTGGTTAAGGGCGTTGTGCCAGTAACCGAAAGGTCGCTGGTTCTAATCCCCAAGCTGACTAGGTGAAAAAACTGTCGATGTGCCCTTGAGCAAGGCACTTAACCCTAATTGCTCCTGTAAGTTCCTCTGGATAAGAGCGTCTGCTAAATGACTAAAATGTAAATATGTAGAACCCTTCTTGCCTTCCAAATAATCATTCTTGCCTTCCAAAGAATCATCAAAGAACCCTTTCTTCAAAAAACAGTTCTTATGATGTTAAAAGGTTTTAGGTAGAACCCTTTGCCTTACAAAGAACCCAAAAAGGGTTATTCTGATCAAAACGGTTCTTGGTAGAATAACCCTATCCCTCCGCAAAGAACCCTTTTTTCTAAGATAATATTTTAACCGAACCTGATGTCGTTTTTCAAGCGAGTATACATCACATGGGTATTATAATTCAAATAATTCGGGAGAGGTGTCATGTGCATGCTGTTTCTCTTTCTCTGTTATTATCTAAATGATAAAACATCTCCTTTAAGATTTCCCATTACTTAACTCCCTCTCGGAACATAATGAAATCTACCTCCTAAGTGAATGAAGATACACTGAGTATACAAAACATTAAGAACAAAACATTGAATCAACATGGAAAACTGATTGGATTTGAAAAAAGTTATTAACGTAAGGGAATTTCCTATTTTTTTCACCCAACTTTTAACCTAAATCCAATGACATGGTGACATTTTTTGTTGATTTCACGTTGAATTCACGTTAGTTGACAACTCAACCAAATGTAAATCAAAACTAGACGTTGAAATGACATCTGTGCCCAGTGGGTTATGATTGACCTTGTTCACTAATTTCCAATTTCATTACAATCAATGAATCAGCTTTTCCTACTGGATCTGTCACCTATTCTCTATTAAAGTCTCTGCCGAAATCTTCTGAAATCGACATCTGAATATCAGAGACTGATAAATACAAATATATGGAGCTGACCACCTTGGGAAAACTATGAGAGAACTCTGGAGTTTTGGGGAAGCACAGCTGTGAGCTGCCAAGTGACACGAGCCTACCAGACGAGCTAAATTACTTCTATAAGACCTTTAAACAGGTCAACATTCACAAGGCCGCAGGGCCAGACGGATTAACAGGACGTGTACTCCGAGCATGCGCTGACCAACTGGCAAGTGTCTTCACTGACATTTTCAACGCTCTCCCTGTCTGAGTCTGTAATACCAACATGTTTCAAGCAGACCACCATAGTCCCTGTGCACAAGAACACTAAGGTAACCTGCCTAAATGACTACCGACCCGTAGCACTCACATCTGTAGCCATGAAGTGCTTTGAAAGGCTGGTCATGGTTCACATCAACCCTAGACCCACTCCAATTTGCATATCGCCCCAACAGATCCACAGATGATGCAATCTCTATTGCACTCCACAGTGCCCTTTCACACCTGGACAAAAGGAATACCTATGTGAGAATGCTATTCATTGACTACAGCTCAGCGTTCAACACCATAGTGCCCTCAAAGCTCATCACTAAGCTAAGGACCCTGGGACTAAACACCTCCCTCTACAACTGGATCCTGGACTTCCTGACGGGCTGCCCCCAGGTGGTAAGGGTAGGTAACAACACATCTGCCACGCTGATCCTCAACACGGGGGCCCCTCAGGGGTGCGTGCTCAGTCCCCTCCTGTACTCCCTGTTCACTCAGGACTGCATGGCCAGGCACGACTCCAACACCATCATTAAGTTTGCCGATGACACAACAGTGGTAGGCCTGATCACTGACAACGACGAGACAGCCTATAGGGAGGAGGTCAGAGACCTGGCCGTGTGGTGCCAGGTCAACAACCTCTCCCTCAACGTGATCAAGACAAAGGAGATGATTGTGGACTACAGGAAAAAGAAGAGGACCGAGCACACCCCCATTCTCATCGACGGGGCTGTAGAGAGCTTCAAGTTCCTTGGTGTCCACATCACCAACAAACTATCATGGTCCAAACACACCAAGACAGTCATGAAGAGGGCACGACAAAGCCTATTCCCCCTCAGGAGATTGAAAAGATTTGGCATGGGTCCTCAGATACTCAAAAAGTTATAGAGTTGCACCATCGAGAGCATCCTGACTAGTTGCATCACTGCCTGGTATGGCAACTGCTCGGCCTCCGACCGCAAGGCACTATAGAGGGTAGTGCGTACGGCCCAGTACATCACTGGGGCCAAGCTTCCTGCCATCCAGGACCTCTATACCAGGCGGTGTCAGAGGAAGGCCCTAAAAATTGTCAAAAACTCCAGCCACCCTAGTCATAGACTGTTCTCTCTGCTACCGCACGGCAAGCGGTACCGGAGCACCAAGTCTAGGTCCAAGAGGCTTCTAAACAGCTTCTACCCCCAAGCCATAAGACTCCTGAACATCTAATCAAATGGCTACCCAGACTATTTGCATTGCCCCCCCACCCCTCTTTTACGCTGCTGCTATTCTCTGTTTATTATCTATGCATAGTCACTTTAATAACTCTACCTACATGTACATTTTACCCCAATTACCTCGACTAACCGGTGCCCCCGCACATTGACTCGGTTTCGGTACCCCCTGTATATAGCCTCGCTATTGTTATTTTTACTGCAGCTATTTAATTATTTGTTACTTTTATTTCGTATTATTTTATATTGTATTTTTTGTGTGATTTCTTTTGGTATTCTTTCTTAAAACTGCATTGTTGGTTAAGGGCTTGTAAGTAAGCATTTCACTGTAAGGTCTACACCTGTTGTATTTGGCGCATGTGACAAATACAATATGATTTGATTTGATTTGTTTGTCTATTGAAGCAAAAACAGGGATCTACATGAATATTAAAGCTACTCTGCCTCATTGGAGGATCTCATCACTTAACGCCCACAAACTACAAATGCTGCTGACGCTGCTGGTGATTATTCACACTATCAACAGTCTGCGTATCCATCAGCGATAACAGTGCATGTGTTGTCATTATTTCAAGACAGACTTTTCTAGAACTTTCATGTTTATTCTCTGATCTAGCATGGAATTGTGTTGCTTGTATTGTACAACACCCTGTATGCGGTATAACATGAAGTCTCACATTTCAAAACAATGCATTAGCTCCCTTCTATATTCTGCGGTGGTGCTCTCAACTGCCTGCCACAGTATTTCATTTCTGATTCCGGCGCTAACGGCATCACTCCCAGTTTTAGAAAATACAAATGGCGGCATATGGTGATCACTACATCTGTGCATGCTGTAACAACCCGTCTTCGCCATGCTACTCTAGGAAGAACGCCATTACAAAGTATTCTGTTACGACACATGTATATTGACTATTGTCTAAGGGGCCGCCCAACACTATAGCTCTATAGCGAACAAGCCCCATTCATTAATCACATGAAAACAAGCAACCAGCCTATAAACAGTGGAGGGAGCGAGTGTGACGGACACCCACACCTCTGTAAGCAGTAACCCGATGATGAGCCTCAATCTGTGGACAGAGATGTGTATGAACGAACACGTTCTTACCTCTGGGTCTGGGACCTGGGAGAATACAGTGGAGATGCAGAAGGAGAGCAGCGCTGCCCCCAATCCCAGCAGCGCCGGCTGGGGAGGGGGACACGAAGAAGGCCGTTCCCTGGCTGCCATTGTTTCCCCCCTTCCTTTCTCCCTGCAGGCTACAGCTCCTTGCCCCCTCTCTCCCCTCCTCTCTTCTGCCTGCCTGGCTGGGTGGCTGGGCTGGGTGGCTGCGCTGTAGGCTACCCTGGACAGGACCACAATGGCCTGGGTGATTGATGGTCAGAGAGGGGTGCTGACGGGGACGGTGGGTGTCCTCTCTCCTCTCATCTGGTGTACTGCCTCTGCCTCTCCTCCCCTTTACTTCTCCCTCCCAACACAGAGCACCATACACAACTATAACACACCACACTGTCTTCCTGTAGACAGCTCCACGAGCCACTAGCCAGCCCCTTCAGTTAGGGTCATTAATTAATTAATAGGACCGGTGTAGTTTACAGCCCATTCTGCCAGGAACGGGAGGTAGGGAGGTTATAACACTGCTCCGTCTGAGGGACGGGAGGGAGCTACCTGCTTGTGAGGGCAGTGGCTTGCGTAGAACAGTCAGGGGAACATCGAGAGGTGAATGACATCATCTTTCAGTTCTACTGTCCTTGTCCTCTGTGTGGAAGTACATAATACAGAAGTGTAGGTTGTAGGTGTCTGGCTTCAGAACACAGTGTTTGACTGACACTGTGTTGTTGCCAGTGGACTGTTGCCAGGTATTTTGCTCCTGAAATTACAGAAGAATAAATATAATCAATCACAATTTACTGACCTCAGTGTTACAAGTATGTTATAACATAGTTTGTGTTTTTGTCCAGTTAATTTTTTGTTTACAATGACCAGATATTCACACAAACCTGACTGGTCCATTTCACAGGATTGGTTTCTGCATCTATAGCTAAAAGCTATGTCGAGATCAGTTGATGCTATACTCTATTTTGGCCATATGTAACACCAACACCTCCACAATAACCAGACAGATGCAGAGGTGGTTAGCTAGTGGTCATGGAACACACTGATGACGGCGCAGTTGCACAATGAAAGAGCTGAGGCATAGTGACTGTCACTGTAGCAGTAGCATGGAGGAGAATCCCTTTCCCTTTAATCCCAGGCTCACATCCACATCACAGGAAGATATCTACTGGTCAATTTAGTTTAGTTTAGTTTAGTTTATTAAGATATCCATTAGTCCATCCAGGAATAATACTCCCAGAGTCTTTATTTGTCTGGCTAAGCCACCTTTTCTTGTCAGTCTAAGGAGTCACTTAGGCAACTTAGGCTGCGTTCACACAGGCAGCCCAACTCTGATCTTTTGTTCCACTAATTGGTCTTTTGACCAATAACATCAGGATCTTTTCACATCAGATCTTTTTCAGAGCTGATCTGATTGTTCAAAAGACCAATTATTGAAAGAAAATATCAGAATTGGGCTGCTTGTCTAAACGCAGACAATGTCCTAGATCTAAGCTCTTGAATGTTAAGCTGATGATGATGAACCCTTACAGGACGTGAGAGGCCTACAGTACTCAATACGATACATGAATGTGCTGCTCTTAGTTTGAATTAGGTTGCGTCTTGTCACGTAAGACAAGCCACAATTAAGGATTTCATAAAGGGGGCCAACAGCCTAGGTGTTTTTCTCAGTCTTAAAATACCTCACTCTGACATGTAAGTGCCCTTACAATGTGGTAAATAACTGCATTAAATTACTCATCAATCTCTTTTGAGTGTTTTGTATACTAGGAGATACCAATGAGCTCCTGATAATGGTCTTCGGGAATGTCAAATGGTGGAAAATGTACAGGTTATTTTGGATCTGGGTTGCGCTGGCAGCGTGAGGTAGTTAACTGGGTGACAACATCACTTCCTGTGGGCAGCCACCTGGAACACAAAAATAAAGGGGTTTAAATACACATCACTTAGATAAATTGTCCAATGGAAACGCCTGCTGATTTCACAGGGGCAATTAGTCACACCTGTGACAGAACAAGCGACACAATCTGGCCTGATTCTTCTGATGGTTAGATGGGAGGATAAAGGGGCTTACGTGACCTAAGTTACACAAGCAAATTAGTTGGAAAACAAAATATGATTGAAAGGTTGATACTGGTGATTTTCTTCCAAAATAGGTTATTTTTTTGTTTAGTCAAAATGTCTTTGATATAGATAGAAAGTGGTGATTAGTCAATAGTTATTTCAAGGCACCATACAAACATTTCATCACCTAGTTTTATAATCCCCTGAGCTCTAATATGATATGAGAGTCGATAACCACAGCATGAATGGCATTGAAGGAAGCTTTTGGACATTTGCTTGGTTACCAGAAGCAATAGCAGCGCAACAACTAAATGGATGTCAATGGTACCTTTTATTCAGCATTGTCCTTGGTGCTACAGATTTTGTCACACAATTGCACACACAATAAATGCTTTTCTCAATACAAATTGCTGTCATGACCAGCTCTCCACTCCAAGCCTTTGCTGTACTTTGTGTAGACACTAGACAGTGGGCAGGGTTTTGACTAGATGGTATACAGCTACAGACAGAATTGACTTTTTGTAGCAGGTTAGGAGAACTTACGCAGCAGGTTAGGAGAATTAACATAGTAGGTTAGGAGAAATAGGTTAAGGTTAGGAAAAGGGTTTGAGTTAGGGTTAGCTAAAATTATAAAATTCTCCCCGACCAGTAGACCTGCAGGCAACATGGGAAATGCAGATAATTGGCCAACTAGGTTTTATTCTCTATAGTCGCAAGATGCGAGGGGGCAGCTGTCATCCTCATAGCTCACAACAGGAAGTAGGCAGCAGTCACGCACAAAGATGTGTTGATATTCTGTTCTCTGACAGCTAGGTCTGGAACAACATGTTCGTGGAGGAGGATTTCCCTCATGCTCTTTTCTTCTTCATGACAGTGACCATTATGGTATTTTTCTATATATAGAACCATTACATATTTATTTGTCACAATGTCAGTGTTACAGTGGGGAGAACAAGTATTTGATACACTGCCGATTTTGCAGGTTTTCCTACTTACAAAGCATGTAGAGGTCTGTAATTTTTATCATAGGTACACTTCAACTGTGAGAGACAGAATCTAAAACAAAATCCAGAAAATCACATTGTATGATTTTTAAGTAATTAATTTGCATTTTATTGCATGCCATAAGTATTTGATCACCTACCAACCAGTAAGAATTCCGGCTCTCACAGACCTGTTAGTTTGTCTTTAAGAAGCCCTCCTGTTCTCCACTCATTACCTGTATTAACTGCACCTGTTTGAACTCGTTACCTGTATAAAAGACACCTGTCCACACACAATCAAACAGACTCCAACCTCTCCACAATGGCCAAGACCAGAGAGCTGTGTAAGGACATCAGGGATAAAATTGTAGACCTGCACAAGGCTGGGATGGGCTACAGGACAATAGGCAAGCAGCTTGGTGAGAAGGCAACTGTTGGCGTAATTATTAGAAAATGGAAGAAGTTCAAGATGACGGTCAATCACCCTCGGTCTGGGGCTCCATGCAAGATCTTACCTCGTGGGGCATCAATGATCATGAGGAAGGTGAGGGATCAGCCCAGAACTACACGGCAGGACCTGGTCAATGACCTGAAGAGAGCTGGGACCACAGTCTCAAAGAAAACCATTAGTAACACACTACGCCGTCATGGATTAAAATCCTGCAGCACACGCAAGGTCCTCCTGCTCAAGCCAGCGCATGTCCAGGCCCGTCTGAAGTTTGCCAATGACCATCTGGATGATCCAGAGGAGGAATGGGAGAAGGTCATGTGGTCTGATGAGACAAAAATATAGCTTTTTGGTCTAAACTCCACTCGCCGTGTTTGGAGGAAGAAGAAGGATGAGTACAACCCCAAGAACAGCATCCCAACCGTGAAGCATGGACGTGGAAACATCATTCTTTGGGGATGCTTTTCTGCAAAGGGGACAGGACGACTACACCATATTGAGGGCATCTCAAGGTCCTGGAGTGGCCTAGCCAGTCTCCAGACCTGAACCCAATAGAAAATCTTTGGAGGGAGCTGAAAGTCCGTATTGCCCAGCGATAGCCCCGAAACCTGAAGGATCTGAAGAAGGTCTGTATGGAGGTGTGGGCCAAAATCCCTGCTGCAGTGTATGCAAACCTGGTCAAGACCTACAGGAAACGTATGATCTCTGTAATTGCAAACAAAGGTTTCTGTACCAAATATTAAGTTCTGCTTTTCTGATGTATCAAATACTTATGTCATGCAATAAAATGCAAATTAATTACTTAAAAATCATACAATGTGATTTTCTGGATTTTTGTTTTAGATTCCGTCTCTCACAGTTGAAGTGTACCTATGATAAAAATGACAGACCTCTACATGCTTTGTAAGTAGGAAAACCTGCAAAATCGGCAGTGTATCAAATACTTGTTATCCCCACTGTATATACTGTAGCTATATACTGTATCCTTATTTCTTGCGAAAGTATTCACACCCATTGGCATTTTTCCTATTTTCTTGCCTTACAACCTGGAATTAAAATTGATTTTTTGGGGGTTTGTATCATTTGATTTACACAACATGCTTACCACTTTGAAGATGCTAAATACTTTTTTTGTGTGAAACAAACAAGAAATAAGAAAAAAAAACAGAACTTGAGCGTGCATAACTATTCAACCCCCAAAGTCAATACTTTGTAGAGCCACCTTTTGCAGCAATTACAGCTGCAAGTCTCTTGGGGTATGTCTCTATAAGCTTGGCACATCTAGCCACTGGGATTTTTGCCCATTCTTCAAGGCAAAACTGCTCCAGCTCCTTCAAGTTGGATGGGTTCCGCTGGTGTACAGCAATCTTTAAGTCATACCATAGATTTCCAATTGGATTGAGGTCTGGGCTTTGACTAGGTCATTCCAAGACATTTAAATGTTTCCCCTTAAACCACTCAAGTGTTGCTTAAGCAGCATGCTTAGGGCCATTGTCCTGCTGGAAGGTGAACCTCCGTCCCAGTCTCAAATCTCTGGAAGTCTGAAACAGGTTTCCCTCAAGAATGTCCCTGTATTTAGCGCCATCCATCATTCCTTCAATTCTGACCAGTTTCCCAGTCCCTGCCGATTAAAAACATTCCCACATCATGATGCTGCCACCACCATGATTCACTCTGGAGATGGTGTTATCGGGGTGATGAGAAGTGTTGGGTTTGCGTCAGACATAGCGCATTTTCCTTGATGGCCAAAAAGCTCAATTTTAGTCTCATCTGACCAGAGTACCTTCTTCCATATGTTTGGGGAGTCTCCCACATGGCTTTTGGTGAACACCAAATGTGTTTGCTTATTTCTTTCTTTAAGCAATGGCTTTTTTCTGGCCACTCTTCCGTAAAGCCCAGCTCTGTGGAGTGTACGGCTTAAAGTGGTCCTATGGACAG